CAATTTGCCTTGATTCATGGACCTAACATTCCAGGTTCCTATGCAATATTGCTCTTTACAGCATCGGACCTTGCTTCTATCACCAGTCCCATCCACAACAGGGTATTGTTTTTGCTTTGGCTCCATCCCTTCATTCTTTCTGGAGTTATTTCTCCACTGATCTCCAGTAGCATATTGGGCACCTACCAACCTGGCAAGTTCCTCTTTCAGTATCCTATCATTTTGCCTTTTCATACTGTTCATGGGGTTCTCAAGGCAAGAATACTGAAGTGGTTTGCCATTCCCTTCTCCAGTGGACCACATTCTGTCTGACCTCTCCACCATGACCCGTCTGTCTTGGGTGACCCCACACAGCATGGCTTAGTTTCATTGAGTTAGACAAGACTGTGGTCCTGTGATCAAGTTGGCTAGTTTTCTGTGATTATGGTTTTAGTGTGTCTGCCCTCTGATGCCCTCTGGCAATACTTACTGCCTTACTTGGGTTTCTTTTACCTTGGACGTGGGGTATCTCTTCACGGCTGCTCCAGCAAAGTGCAGCCGCTGCTCCTTACGTTGGACGAGGGGTATCTCCTCATGGCCGCCCCTCCTGACCTTGAACGTGGAGTAGCTCTTCTCGGCCCTCCTGCACCAGCGCAGCCGCCTTTCCTTGGAGGTGGGGTTGCTCCTTTCGGCCACAGCCCCTGACCTTGGGCGTGTGGTAGCTCGTCTCGGCCATTGCCCCTGGCCTCGGACGTGGGGTAGCTCCTCTCTGCCGCTGCCCCTGACCCTGACCTAGGACACCACTGAAAAAGAAAAGGAGTCAATGCTTTAAAACAAATTCTTCTGGACAAGTAATGTATAGTGTCATAAGTCAATGGACCATGATTGAAAGCAAAGCCTATCCTTGTGATCCTTCCTGTGTTGAGTTATGGGGCGGGCACAGGGTGAACTCTCAGAAGGTCAAGTGTGACATGGGGAAACAGGAAAGGCTGATGGGTAGGAACCTCCACTTGGACAGGCAATGAGAGAAGCATCATTTTTGTGTTCCGTGTATGTATATTTTTATGAGTCCTTTTAAAGTCAAGTTTTGTTTTTATCCTTTTGCTTTTTGCTTGTAAAAGGAATCTGGACTTTTCACTATGTAAATAGTGTAGATGCACCTTTGCAAAGAGAAATGCAACATCAGAAGACAAGGTTGCCCTTTAAAAAAGGAACAAGCTAGGACTTGTGCGCATGTCTGAAGATTTAGACAGGAGTATGTGAAGTAGTGCAGGGTTGTTTATGTGGATGGTATTGTTTATTTCAGTCTCTACTAGAGGATATTTAGCATAAAAATTATAAAGGTAATATTAACTACTATTCTTATGTATTCCTTTATTTTTACTAGTGATTTTCAACAGAGGTAGTACTGTCTCTAGGTCAATGCTATTCAAAATGTGGCCCACTAACCAGAACTGGTATGTGAACTATTTATTTATTGGCCTGCAATGAAATAAGAGCAAAAACTGACAGTAACCATTTAGACACTTGCATGGTAATTTTTATCTGTCAAATGCAATAAAATGGAACTTATATTCTGTATGTTTTTATTTTTTGTTTAATTTTCCCCTAGTGACTCTTTTTTTTAATAAAAGTATAGATATTGGACAGATTATGCAATTGTGGAAGGTAACTGGCTTTTTACCGCATGTAGTTTGAGAGACACTGCCCTAAGAGATATTTTAGGAATATGTGGAGGTGTTTGGGAATATAGTAATTGGGGGAATACAAGACATTCTTCTTCCCTTGTGGCTCAGCTGGTAAAGAATCCACCTGCAATGAGGGAGACCTGGATTCTGTCCTTGGGTTGGGAAGATGCCCTGGAGAAGGGAAAGGCTACCCACTCCAGTATACTGGCCTGGAGAATTCCATGGACTGTATAGTCCACCGGGTCACAAAGAGTTGGACAGGACTGAGCAACTTTCCCTTTCACAAGATGGCCTAGTGAATAAAGATTCAGGACAGTAGATATCTTGAAGTGCATTAAACAGGACTGTGTAAGCCTCTGGCTGCCTGAGCTGCTCGCTGCGGAGGGAAAAGGCGCGCCGCATCTGGGGAGAGTGCACCCAAGCCTCTGGCTGCCTGGGCCGCTCAACGCGGAGGGAAAAGGCGCGCTGCACCCGGGGAGAGTGCACCCAAGCCTCTGGCTGCCTGAACCGCTCAGGCCGGGGAAGGCACAAAAC